AAACAATAATATATTAAAAATAATATTATATTAATCGTGCATAAAGTTTTGTATGCATTGCTGGCATAACTGGTTTTTATGGTCCTACGACGCTTTTCTAGCCCTCGCGCTAACGCGCTCGGGCTCGAAATAGCGCCTCGGACCATAAAAACCTTATTATGCCCTTAATACATAAATAACTATTAAAGTTTTACAGGCTTGTAGAAAAAGCAATTTATGAAATGAAATGACACATTTGACACATTAATTGAAATATTTAAATTTAAAAATCGTTATCTAAAGGTGAAAATAAAAGTTTGTACGTGTCACGCTTTGCAATTAATCTTTACCAGTCTCACTGGATTATGGGTTCGCTCCTGCGTCGCTTACCCACAAACTCGCCCGTAAAGATTCATTTACAAAGCTTGACACGTAAATAACTATTATGTCTAATTTAAAATGTCAATGTATAGAAATCGACTTTTTTAGGGACAATATAAACTTTGAAAGATAATTATCCAATTTATTTTATAAAACAATAGTTTTTAAAGCAAAATACTGTGTTGCCATGTCGTGCAAAAACCTATATCCACTGATATGCTAAATCAGGTGACATAAATAAATCAACGTTTCTGCATACGGCCCTTAATTTTGACATTTTGCTTTAGGTCAATTGTGCCAACCTAGTAACATAAATTAAACTACTAGATTTATTTAATTTAATTTATAAATTATGCTTTAAATAGGCAAAATAGTATGAAAAATTCGTGTTACAATGAGTTATTATGATATAACGTCACAAAATTATTGTAAATTAACACAAATCATAAAGAATTATTGCCACATTTCACATTTCATCATCTGATAGAGAAAATATTCCCTTTTGAACGACATCAATAATAAAAACTTTTGGATTAAATTCGCAGTGAATAACCGACACGAAAATTCTGTACGATAACATTTGCATTTTCTGCTACATTAACTTTGACCACAGTTTCCTTTTCGATAGGTATAGATGGGGAATGATTTGTGCGATTTTATTCCCGACTTTTAAAAGTTCGAATATTTTGCATAATTTAGTCCCTCACAAAACCGTTGAATTATTAATGTAAAGCAATGTGAATCAATAGAAAAATGCGGAAATACATGCATTGAAAACATAATTAGCATTCTTTTTTTGTTTTTATTTTAATAAAAAAATTAATCTATACAACCTCTTTAGCACCCTTCAGTTTAACTTTAAAAACATTAAAAAATTGACGTTTTAACAAAAATGATTGATGTTTAATTGACAGTTAATAGGTTTGGTAATTTTTTCCACTAAATAGTCCATTAAAGTCCATTAAAGTTACGAGTCCGATTTATATAAGTAATATTGCAATTCATTGGGAAAGCCAATTTCTTTGGGATCGTACCATATTGAAAGCTAAGATCCGAGTTTGCGACCATCCTTGCAGCTTTTCCGCCTACCTGGATTAAGGGGTAAATTTGCTAATAATATTTTTGATTTTATTAAATAAGCAGACAGTAGGTACCATTTTTCATAAAAATGAGTATAGGTACACAGAAAAAAAATATTTGCTAATTTTAACCAAATATTAACCAGACTTTAGGTTAATCCAGGTCCACATGATTTTATGTTAAGTTTGTAACTAACTTAAGTAGTTTGTAATTATAACAAATATTTTATGGATTTAATCCTATGTCAATAATTCAACCACAATTCTTGTAATTTTCAAAAAGACCCTTATTTTACAAACCTTCTTGTAGACCCAGAAACAAAAGTATTTGTTGGAAATAGAGAACTTAAATATTTGTTAAATATTTATCAAGGCAGTAAAGTCGTATTTTTTATCACGAATGTGGAAATAACCACGTGAGTGATAAATATAACTTTAATGCCGAGGTGTATATTAAATTTTATCCGAAATCACATTTAATAATACTAATAATTAATATTGATGATTAAATCAAATGTCATTTGATGATCAAATCAAATGTCATTTGAAGGTAGGAAGTGTCTACGTATACTGTTTGTTGCCACGGTTATTATATATTTGCCCGCTGTGGCTTTTTTATAATCTAATTAATAAAATTAACTTATTATTTTTATTAAACAACATTTTATGACAGGGTCCAATCGACCTCCGCGACGGTGCTTTTTTTTAAATATTATTTAATTGCTGCTGAGGAGCAGTAGAAACATCTTAAAATGTATAATGGGTTGCATACAATACTCGTATTAAATTGGCAGTAAAGTTCTACTTTACTGACGATTTCTTTTTACTTTACTGTCGATTTCGGATAAAAAGAATTTTGTTAAGAAATGTTGCTTTATTAATCAATTTCCTAAACCAAAAAATTAACACATAACTACATAAATGAACACAAAAATAACAAACACACAATTAAATATCACACCATTCTAAAATCATCAAATTATAAAGAAATTTGGTACAATATAATTATCAGTACTACTACTGTAACAACACACAATTCCCCGCGAAATTGCAACGTTTTAGATCTTTAAATTTTGTTATCATCCTCTGGATTAATGTTCGTTTTGTTAAACGAAAAGTTATCTGGTGAAACAGGTAACTAAATTAATATATTATTATATGTTCACTTCAATTAAGTGGTGAAACAGTTTTTAGATTTAATAACCGAAGAATCAAGAAGTGTTACCAATTTGAGGTTTAATTTGTCTAAACAGAATAAAGTGTGTTCAGGAATTACAGTCTTTAAACACCTTCGGCAAGTTTCCAACACTTCGCTACAGTATTTCATTTTGAAAACCATTCTCTAAAAATGAATTAGTCAAAAATGACTAATTTAATAGTTATTAGTGGCTGCTTTTTCACTTGTACCATGGTTAACCATGGAATACCATGGTATCACAAAATTTAACAGCCAATTCTTATGTAAAATTGTCCCCTGAATCCGAAAAATTATGAAAGTGGAGCAGTTTTTGAGATATAATCAATGATATTTTAAATGGAAAATTGACTATATCTCAAAAACTGTTCTACTTTTTTAACTTTTGACATTTTTGGATTCAGGAGACAATTTTACATAAGAATTGGCTGTTAAATTTTGGGATACCATGGTATCCCATGGTACAAGTGAAAAAGCAGCCACTTATACTATTAAATTAGTCATTTTTGACTATTTCATTATTGACTATTTCATTTTTAGAGAGCAGTGGCATCTTTTTTCGAATACTTCGCACTTTGCAGACTCGTAAAATAGGTATACAGAATCTGAATAAAAATAATAACAGATTTCTGGTAATATATTATACACTCTGGACAGTTACGAACACGTTACGAATTAGAATAATGTTAGCAGAAACATAAGTTGCAGACGACAAGTCATTTCAACTTGTTGATGCGTATTGTCAGTGGGAAATGTTTTGATTAACTGCCTGAAATCACGTGTACTTTTTCAATTTAATAATTTGTTAAACATTCTCTCTAAAAATGAAATAGTCAAAATTCTACTATTAAAATTAGTACCAGCATTGTTTACTAATAAAATAGTCGTTTTTACTTTCAAATAGTTATTTTTTACTACGTAAATAGTTAAAGTTTGACTAATTTAAGATTAGTCACCATCTTTGACAATTTCTGAGAGTTAAAAGTAACTAATTTCTTTAATCGTTTGCGGCCAACAACAAAGTAGATATTATTTGAAATAAATGCATATACCCAAGCTTCATGGTTAAATGACCCATAAAAACAAATAAAGATGCAAAAAGTTTAGCTCAAAACAGCAACACAAATAATATATTCAACTTTAAAATATTATGAACAATATTTATTGACAAATAAAATTGATTTTTATAAGAGCGGCTGATGGCCGAACGGGTTATGACAACAGCTTGACAAGCTTGACAAGTGACAGAGTTCAATCCCCGGCTGGGTCAAAACTTTTTTCAAATTTAAATCTACTAATTTGATAATTTCATTCAGTAGAATTTGACTAATTATTAGTGACTGCTTTTTCGCTTTGACAATTAGTCAAATATGACTTATAATTGACGCGTTTCTCGGAAAAACATCATTAGTCCAAAATTAACATATTTGGGAAAATGAAAAAAACTCTCCGACATTCCCATTTTTGACCAAAGTACTTTATTGACCTATTTACTACATGTAAAAAAATGTAAGATACTTTGTCCAGAATTCCTCATGTTTGTATTTTCAAACGAATATGAAAAAAACACAAAAAATACATGAACATGTGAGGTTTTTAGAAGAAAAAAACAAACAATTCTCCTTACTACAAACACTACAAACTAAATACTAACTCTGACGAACAAAATAAATGAAAAAACTAAAAACTGTATTACTGCCCCATTCAGTCTTCGCATCCACTGCTGTTATCATCGTTGTCGACCGTGTTATCAGGACTGTCAGGTGCTATGCTCTTCTGCTCTTTTATCAAGTTATCATAAAATTTTCTATTGCTGTGGTAATGTAAAAGAGGTAGAAGCTTTTCTAGAGTGTCCAAAAACGTCACATGTTGTGTACATGTGACTTTCTTAGACGAAACGGAGTGGACTTGTGATGTTTTTAGAAGAACAAGCTAAATTTAATATTTAATTATTATGGAACCTATGACATTTTTACGAGAAACACTTATTTGTATACGTATATATGGAGGTTAGGAAACAGTTGGTGCTAATATCTAAATTTCGACGATATTGGACTAATGATGTTTTTCCGAAAAACGCCTCAATTAGTTATTTTTGACTAATTCATTTTAAGAGAGTTAATAAAATAATCTGTAGCCTTCAAAATTAACAAAATTGCATATTACCTTTGCAAAACTTTCGGTAAAATATTAGAAACCCTGCTTCTCTACAAAAAATTTTTTACAAAATAAAATGAACTCATATGATTTTTATGACAGTGTACTTGATATTTTGCATATAAAATGAGTTTAAGAAGTTAATTTTGAAAAGAAAACGGTCCTTAAGGCGGTATAAAGTGAAGTAAATTTATTAATTTTGTCAACAGGTTGCCGAGGAAGGAGAGGAGCATGAAGAGAGCTTCGAGGGAGCGTGGACCGGAAACGAGACGGAGGAAGTCACGGTGCCGCTTGATTCGCACGAGGCAATGAGCAACGGAATGCACAAGAGGACACGTGACAAGCGAAGCTACGAGTTCTTGATGGGGCTGATCAATAACAATTCCAAATTCGAGGTGACCAAGGTCGATCCCGAAGCTGCTGTTGCTGCTGCTGCTGCAGCTGCTGCCCCCGTTGCAACGCAAGACGAACGCCTCGTTGAGAAATCACCGCCACAGCAGGTAACTTTATATTTAGTTTTGCCTGGGGTGGGTTTTATAAATATGCAAAACATAAAAATGAAAAACAAATGGATGAAAATAAAAAATAGTTTACACATTAAAAAAATATTTGTTAATTCTAACCAAATAATAACCAGATTTTATGTTAATCCAGGTCCACATATCTTTTTTTTAAGTTTACAACCAACTGTAATCTGTTAACTAATTGAATAAGTACTTTGTAATTATTACTAAAGATGGGATATTTAGGTACTAAAAACTGAAAAATAGGTAACTAAAAAGGTACTAAAAAAAGCATTTTAGGTTAAAAAACAGCATTTTAGGTAAAAAAAAAACATTAAAAGTTCTTTCCGTCAATAGAAAATATCTTATTCTTTCCCTCTATCCAACTGCTGAGTTTATTTGGAGGATTTTCTTTGGTTTTGGGCATTTTTTATAGTTTTGTTTAGCCGCATACCCAAACACAGAACATACCCACAATAAACTATTTCTATGCAATAAACTGTGTTTCACTGAGTGACACCCACTAACTGCAAAGAAAGTTACTGCTACTGTCTGTGACCATAAGAAAAAATTCTATACCGTTGAGTTGCTCGCCCTGGATAAAATATTGGCGCAAAATTTAAAAAGAACACAAAAAAATAAAATAATTAAAAATACTTAACAAATACTCTCTAAAAATGAAACAGTGAATTTTCACTGATTGACAGTGCATATTAACTATTTGCCGCAGTGATAAGTATACCGCTAGCAATTAGTGAATACTCACTTTTTCATGTAGCGATTTCTTTGCACTAATTTATTTAGTGGAAATTACACTGTACAAATAAGTGAAATAGGTTTAGTTCAAAAAAGTTAAAATTTCACTATTTTATGTCGAAAGTTCCAGAAAAGTAGTGACAATAAAAACACTGATTTGGAGAAGTTAAAATTTCACCAATTTATATTGAAATACACTAATTTTACAGTGAATAACTCACTGACGGAAATAGTGAAAATTTCACTGTTTCACTTTTAGAGAGTAGGTGAAAATAAACTAACAAGTTAAAAGATAGGTAACAAAAGTATAAAAAGGTAGTTTAAAGCAAAAACCTCCAAAAAAGGTAAAAAAGGTGAAAAAAATTTAAAAAAATAGGTAACAAAAGTATAAAAAAGGTAGTTTAAAGCAAAAACCTCCAAAAAAAGGTAGAAAAGGTGAAAACAAGTTAGGTTCATATAAAAGAAAATCTTTTAAAACACATTTTGGCATTAGTGGTAATTATTACAGATATTTTGTAGATTTAATAACAAAATTCCATGTCAATTTCAAACATAATTCTTTTATTTTTTACAAACTTTTATGTAGACCCAGTATGAAAAGTATTTGTAGTAAATTGTGAACTTTAAAAAAGAGAATTTGTTATAAGAAATTTTGCTTTATTAAACAATTCTCTAAATAAAACATAATTAACACATAACTACAAAAATGAACACAAAAATAAAATACACAAAATTAAACAACACACCATTCTAAAATCATCAGATTATAGAAATGATAGAAATTTGGTACAATATAACTATCAGTACTACGCACAAAAAGACACCTCTTATAAACATAAAAATGTTTGTTTTAGGGCAAACAAATTCATATATTTAAATGCGTATAAAGTAAAAAAAATACTTGTTAATTTTAACCAAATAATAACCAGATGTTATGTTAATCCAGGTCCACATAACTTTTCGTTAAGTTTACAACCAACTGTAATCTATTAACTAAGTGAATAAGTAGTTTGTAATTATTACAGATATTTTGTAGATTTACTAACAAAATTCCATGTCAATTTCAACCATAATTCTTGTATTTTTTTCAAACTTTTATGTAGACCCAGTATGAAAAGTATTTGTTGTAAATTGTGAACATTAAAAAAGAGAATTTGTTATAAGAAATGTTGCTTTATTAAACAATTTTCTAAATAAAACATAATTAACACATACACATAAATGAACACAAAAATAAAATACACAAAATTAAATAACACACCATTCTGAAATCATCAGATTATAGAAATGATAGAAATTTGGTACAATATAACTATCAGTACTACGCACAAAAAGACACCTCTTACACACATAAAAATGTTTGTTTTAGGGCTAACAAATTCATATATTTAAATGCGTATAAAGTAAAAAAATATTTGTTAATTTTAACCAAATAATAACCAGATGTTATGTTAATCCAGGTCCACATAACTTTTTGTTAAGTTTACAACCAACTGTAATCTGTTAACTAATTGAATAAGTACTTTGTATTTATTACAGATATTTTGTAGATTAAATAACAAAATTCCATGTTAATTTCAACCATAATTCTTGTATTTTTTACAAACTTTTATGTAGACCCAGTATCAAAAGTATTTGTTGTAAATTGGGAACTTTAAAAAAGAGAATTTGTTATAAGAAATGTTGCTTTATTAAACCATTTTCTAAATAAAACATAATTAACACATACCTGAACACAAAAATAACATAAATCATCAGATTATATAGAAATTTGGTACAATAAACTATCAGTATTACTAAAACATTTACTGATTTACTTTAACTTCACTATATCGCCTAATTTTAATTTGAAAACCATTAAGGACATTATAAACACTGCTCTCACCGTTAAATATTATAAACACCCGTTGACGCTGACACAACTTGTTGATAAGTGTGTTGTGCTTGGAAATGTTTTGATTGGCTGCCTTAAATCAAGTGTACTTTTTCAACGGAATAATTTGTTAAACAATACCAAAACAATCTGTTACCTTTGAAATTAACAAAATGTTTACAAAATTGCATTTTACCTTTACAAAATATTTTCCTTTGTTAAAATAATTACAAACCCACGTTGTATACAAAAAAATTTGTAACAGTGTATACTAAATGGAAAACTATTGATATGAATTTATTAATTTATTTTAACTGAATCTTAGATTTATTTAAAAGATATTTTATATTTTACTTTACAAGTGTATCTTACTTTTGTTAAGACCATTGCCAATAATTATGTTGAACATATGAAAACATTAAATACACTGAAAGAAATATATGTTTGTTTTAGCAATGTATGTGGTTCATATATGGACTACCACATACATTGCTAAAACAAACATATATTATATTTAGTTTTAACATAATATGTTAAAACTAAATATAAAAATGGTTAAGGTAAATATATTTTATGTTTCATATATGGACTACCACATACATTGCTAAAACAAACATATATTTCTTTCAGTGTAGAGCAATATTCATAAAGTAACGTATTCAATTACTTAAAAGTTTATGATATATTAAATTAGAATATATTAATATGTATATTTACTTTAACATCAAATATATGAAATTCTTCATCAAAATAAGTACCTTGCTTTACTTGCTTTCAAATATTTCAAAGTTTTGTTTTAAGACGATCATTCTTTTGAATGGGAATATACGAAATATTTATTACAACCAATTCATTTAATCGCGCATATAGGAACTAACGGTATATTTAAAATAAACATATATTCACAGCTACCATTTTTTGTGTAGCCATATGGCATACAACAATATATAAAACGTAAAATTATAATAATTATTTACAGCCTAGGAGGTTTTTGATTGAAGATAACATTTAATATTATGGGGTGGGATTTATAAATAGTAATTTACATTTTTATGCTAAAACAGTTATTACAATAACAAACTTTAACCCACTTCACTCTATCCCCTAATTTCAGTTTGAAAACCAGTGATGGCATCTTTTTTCGGATACTTCGCACTTCGCACCCTCGCGAGGCCTCGTATAAGGAATCTGAATAACAATAACAACAGATTTCTGGTAATATTCAGGGTGTTTCATAACATGTGTCGGAAAATGAAGGATGTGATTCCTTGAATTCCAGGGAAAAAATGTCCTATTAACATGTGTCCGCAAACGCACCGTTTTCGATATACAGGGTGTCGAAAAATCGATTTTTTTTTGTTTTTTAACAATATTTCAGAAAACGTTTGAGATATAAAACTATTTTTTTGTACACATCTTAATATCATCAATAATATTAACTACTTTTTTAGCCCCAATTCATTTTTTTTTATGTCAGTGGCGGAGATCTAAGGGTTGTGTGAGCTTTTTTTGACCATAATTTCTTTAAAACTGTTGATATTGACATTTTGAAAGCACTTTTTAAACTGCAAGTATTTTTTACACAAAAAATGTACTCTTGGTTAAAAGCTCTAGCGTGAACCATTTTAGAGAAAAACGGCTTTATGATAAAAAAAAGTAGCAAAAAAGTTTTATTTTACATAACTAAGCTTTATAGTCTAAGAACATAACATAAAAACAAGAAAAATTACGATTGTTGAAAATCTCGAAAACGGTGCGTTTGCGGACACATGTTAATAAGACATTTTTTTCATTGATTTTCCGACACATGTTTTGAAACATACTGTATTATAAACTCTCTGGACAGTTGTTACGAACACCTTACGAATGAGAATAATGTAAGCAGAAACATAAGTTGCAGACGCTGAAGTCAGTTGATCTTTTTCAACTTAATAATTTGTTAACCACAACAAACAAAATAATCTGGTACCTTTAAAATAAACAAAATGCTTACAAAATTGCATATTAACTTTACAAAACTTTCGGTAAAATATGTTCTTTTGTTAAAATAATAATAAACCCTGGTTTTCTACAAAAAATTATGTTAAAATTTTACAAAATAAAATTAACAAACTACAAACTCATGTTAACAAATTTTATTTTTATAACAGTGTATCAAGATACGTTAACGTCACATTTTTATATCCATTGTGACTATTATTTAGTTAAACTAAAGGTAATTCTAATGTTACACTGAAAGAAATTTATGTTTCATATATGGACTACCACATACATTGCTAAAACAAACATATAATATATTTACCTTAACCATTTTTATATTTAGTTTTAACATATTATGTTAAAACTAAATATAATATATGTTTGTTTT